TATAAAGATATAAAAGATAATAAATAAATATGATAAAATAGAAGATATAAGAAATAATAAACATATACAATAAATAATAATAAATATTTTAACACAATAAAAAAGAATAATATCAAAAAGAATAAATAAGAAAAGAATAATAATATAAATGATAATCAATTATAATTTATTTCTACTTCAATTTATATTGTATTTCATTTATTATATTTTTATTTCATTCGTCACTATTCATCAAAGCAATAGCTTGGTATTCTTTCATTCCTCTTTAATTCTTCTTCACATCCACAAAAACAACTATTTCCAAATGATATAATTGATGATGGTATATTAATTGATGTTAATGATGAACATCCTGAAAAACAACCATCTCCTATTGATATAACTGATGATGGTATGTTAATTGATTTTAATGATGAACATCCATCAAAACAATAATCTCCTATTTCTTTAATTGATGATGGTATATTAATTGTTGTTAATGAATCACAGTTAGAAAAACAACCATATCCTAATTTAGTAATTGAAGAAGGAATAATAAATTCATTGATATCTTTCTTGAAAATATTCTTTCCATTAATTATTTCTAGATTGTCAGGTATTTTAATACTAATTAACACTGGTTCATTCATAAATATTCTTTCTTCACTGATAAATTGTATATTATCTATATTAATTGATGTTAATGATGAACATCCTGAAAAACAACCATCTCCTATTGATATAACTGATGATGGTATATTAATTGATGTTAATGATAAACAGTGATAAAAACAATAACTTCCTATTTTATTAACAGATGATGGTATATTAATTGATTTTAATGATTTACATCCATTAAAACAATCATATCCTAATTCATTAACAGATGATGGTATATTAATTGTTGTTAATAATGAACATTCATAAAAACATTCATATCCAAGTGATTTAACTTCTGGTGGTATTGTATTTCCATATTTCCATCTATCTTCTTTTGTATATTCTATATTTTTACATATATTTCCTTGTTCTTTTTCTTTTAAATATGTTGAATAATCTACTTTGTACCATATTATTTTTTTAAATATTTTTCCATCATTAAATATTTTATCTTCTTTATTATAAATATGAAATGTTTCAATATTAGGAAACAATTTTCTTGAATAATGATTTAAAGGAATTGGATTAAAATGAAATCGTTCCATATTTCCTTGAAATCTTTTAACACCCATTTCTAAATTAATAAAATCATTAATATCATTAAAATACATTGATGTTATCATTATTTCATTATATCCTAATTTCATTATTGATTTATTATTTATTAGTTGTTTTATTAGTTCTTTTATTAGTTCTTTTTTAATTTTAATTTTAATTTATTTTTAAGATATGATTCTTGACTTTTTTTCTTTTTTTTAAACTTTAATAATGGAAATTTAATTCATAAACAATGAATCAATTAATAACTAATATAATGGTTTGATTAAACATTAATCATTTAGTTTGTTTGATTGTTTATCATTTATTTATATTTGTTTATATTAGTTGTTTATTTTTATGGTTATTTATTGTTAATTTGTTCAATTAATATAGTTTTTTTTTCTAATATTTCAAATAGTGAATAATCATAAGAATAAAAGAAATAACAGATAATAAAGTCAAAAGAATAATGTAATAAAGATAAATGAAAATATTAGAAATAATTGATTATTATTCAAATCATTATTTCATTTATTTGTATTAATTGTTTTATATTTAAATCATGAATATTACATTATTATATTTCATTCACCGTTTGTTCATATCAATTATTATCATTTATTATTTAGTTATTCATTATTCTTTTGATTAATAATATTATCAATCAAGTTTTATTGATTGTATATTAGTTATTCTATTTTTTATGTTATTTCATTTTTATTTCTTTATCTTTCTGCTTCTATTTTGTGTTTTGTTTCTTGGTTATATAATTTAATATTTATTGTTGATTATATTTTATTTTGTTTATTATTTTTGTGTTTATTTCTTATTTTGTAATGTTGTGTTTATTTAAATAAAAGAAAGAAAAGAACTCAACCAGATAAATAAGAATATAATTGAGTACCAAAACAATGTTGTGGAATAGAACAAAGAGTAATACAAAAGTGTTTATTGCAGAACAGTGCTTTGTGTGCATTCACTAGCATTAACCAGATTTATGTTTGTTAAATGTGTAAGAGTTAGGAAAGATGAAGTAATTTCTTATTTTTCCTATTCATTATTTCTATTCATTCATATTATCATTTCTACTTATATTTACATTCCATTCCTCACCCACTTCAATCTCCATTAACAATATTTAAATAATTAACATATCTTCTTGTTTAAACAAATAAATAATGATAAAATGAAATAATAAATAATAAAGAAATATAATAAATAAATAACAATTGATAATCAAATTAAATTATAAAAAGAATAAAATAAATAATGAAATATAATGAATATAATAATAATGAATTTATATTCATGTTCTTAACTTCTTTTAAATTATAATCATATTCATTATATTATTATATAATTATCATTGTGATTTCATTTTATTCTTTCTTTTATTATTATTTGTTATTCATTGTTAGTGATGAAGATGATAAAAGAAATGAATGAGTATGAAGATAACATTATTAATTACATGAAAACAAAACAATAACCAATCAACATCATTTAATTAAAGAATAAAATGATAATAAACCAACTAAATAATGAGAAAGTAATAACAAATGATGATAAACAAAGAATAAGTGAATAAAGTAGAAATAGAAAGAAGTATTAAAGAATGGATAAATAAGAATGAAACATATGATAATAAAGAAAACAAGAATTGATAAGAATATAAAACAAATATAAAACCATAAAATAATAATAAAATTGAATAGTAAAAGAATAGTAAAAGAATAATAACAAGGGTTAGAAAATGGTATTTAAACAGAAAAAAAGAAAGAAATAAACATACAAACTGTTTTACGTAATAATACAACCAATTCATTTTATAAATGGTTGGGAACAACTATTACAAGAAGATAGATATAGTTTATGGTAGTATTCTAGAAATACTATATTTAAAGTATCTAAAAGAATAAGAAATAAAGATAAATAATAATAAATAAAAAAGAAATAAAATATAAAGAAATTAAAGAATAGAAAGAATAAAATAAGAATAACATAGAATAAAAAAAATAGAAAGAAAGAGAATAAAAGAAAAGATAATAAGAATAATAAAGAAATAATTTAAATTTTAATTCAAATAATCATAATTATCATTTCATTTTACTTTTTACTTAATTATGATTATTTTATTTCATTAATATGTTTTAATTAATGTTTTTATAATTTGATAATTTTATTTCATTTATTTATTTTCATCATATAATGAACAATACAATAACTGGTTTTAATTTTTATTCATTCTTTTTATTCAATTCTTTTCTATCATTTATTTATTACATTCTTCAATTTCATTATGATTCAAATGTATTATGTCAGAAACACTACACGCTATCATTAAAATGAAATCAAAATTTAAATCATCAATTATCATCTGATAATAACAATATATTTAGTAATATATTCAACATTCAATATTATAATAATTTGTGTTGATTGTTATTTAATAAGAAATGGTATGATTGAATATTGAAGAATGTTGTTTGTTTTAAATAATTGCTGTTTATTATGATGAAATATTATTTATTAATGATAGTTTAAAATTGGATATGAAATATTATCAATAATTAAATTGATTCTACTGATAATTGTTGATATTAATAAAGATGAAACACAATCATAATGATATTGATGTATTCTTCTTAAAATAACAATGTAAACAATAACCAATTTCAATAATCATTAATTTTAAATTCAAATACAAATAACAAATTAAATAAAACATTTCAATTGAAAATGATTGAAAACACTTTAATTCATTAGAAATAAAGAATAGTGAACAAATTAATGTATTTAATTGTGAACATGATGAAATATAAGTTATTAATTAAATCATATTTGATTAAATTTCATTCATTCTTATTATTCATTAAAATAACACAATAAATGTGAATATTTCAAATGAAAGAAAATGAAATAATAATATGATCATTTTTATATTAATCACTTCATTTATTGATTTGATTTTATATGATTTTTTATTTTTATATTTCAAATAAACAATAATGAATAAAAATATTTCATTTCAATTACAATGATTCTTTTTGGTGTGAAATATTCATTTCTACAAAGTTTATTTCTTATTCCTTTATATGAAAATGAATGTTGTTTACAAAATGATTCTGTTTTATTTTTTTTCTTTATAAACAACAATATCACATAGATATCAAGGTGCAAACAAACCACCATCTGATTGATTATATAAAATAAATGCATATTTGTATTTTTAATATCAAATTTCATCATTCCTTTTATTCTTCCTTTTGATTTTAATGAAAATAAAAATGATTTTGAATCATTTATATATCACCAATTTTATCAATTTTCACATTAACATATCCTCCAAATTTATTTCCATCTTCATCTTCAATAATAATTATTAAATGTTTTGTATTTATTATTCTTTAAATAGTGATGTATTCTAATTTCAATCATCTTTATTTGAATTAAATATAATATTTCCTATACTTTTCTCTGTCCATTCTTCTATTTGTTTCATTTCATTTGTTTTATTTGGTTTATGTTCTTCTTTGATTTTAATAATATCATTCTTTATTTCTTTTGTTTTCCTTTCTTCTTGGTCTTTTCTTTTATCTTCACACTCTTTCCTCCTTATCTCTTGTTCATTTTCTTTTACTTTGTTTTCATGTTGATTTGATGTCATCTTATTGTAGTGATTTCTTTGTTTATTTTAAATTCTTGATATTCCTCAATATTTCAAATGAAAATACAATAATAAAATTGAATATTAAAAGAATATGAAAGTAATAAGAAATGAGATGAAGTCAATTTGTCACTAAACAATTCACTAATTTGTGTTTGATTATAATGAGAAGTGATTATGTTCATGTTTCAATACAAGTATGAATATTGTAATGTTTATTTATAGAATATATTCAAATGAAAATTCATCTAAAAAGGAATTTTTTAATTTATCTAAAAAAGAGAAAATTGAGGAATAAGATCTGAAATAGAAAAGAATTAATATAAAAGATCAAGAGTTTCATCTCATAAATCATCAATAATCAATTCAATGACATCCAATGAGAAATTTGAGAAAATTGCAAAAGAAATAATGTCATCAACAATAAAGAAAATAGTTAGATTTCAATGTAGTGATAAACCAGCAAGTAGATACAATTGCAAATTAGGAGGAACACCTTATTTACCAAAAGGATTTGAATATCCAAAAGACTTAACTACTGGGAAACCATTGTCTTTTATTATGCAAATCAATTTTGAAGAATTTGAAGCATTAGAAAATTATCCAACAAAAGGAATTTTACAATTTTATGTTTTGGTAGATGATTCATATGACTATGGAGTTAATTCTGAAGATATAACAAATCAAGAAAAGTTTAGAGTTGTTTATTTTGAAACAATTGAAAAAGATGAATCCAAATTACAAGAAGCACCAATTATTGAACATGAAGAATGTGATCCAATACAAACACCTTGTTTATTAATTCCAGAACATAGAGAAATGGGAATTCCAACTAACTGTTATCAATTTGATAATATTGCTGAGAAATATGCAATGAAATATGAAATAGATGAACCAGAAAAAAGTGATTTGAAGAATTATCTTTATGAATCCCTACATGTTGAAGACGACATTCATATTGGTGGATATTCTAAATTTGCACAAGAAGATCCTCGAATGTATGAATATCAAGACCTCACTGAAACTCTTCTTCAAATAGGAAGTATTTGTGGAAATGATTTAGAATATATAATGTGGGGAGACGCTGGTTTTGCTAATTTCTTTATTAGTTTAGAAGATCTTAAAGCATGCAACTTTACTCGAGTTGGCTATAGTTGGGATTGTTGCTAACACTTTTTAATTCAATTCCTTTTGAATATTTTCTGTTTAATTTTCTACAGTTTCATATTTCAAAGATAAATGAAAGTTTGTTTGAACAATAACATCAAACAACAGCATAAATAATTCAGAAATGAATTGTTTGTTTAAAGTTATGTTTAGATAATAATCAGTAAGTTAAATAACTTTTCATTTAATCTTCTTTTCTTTTTCATGATTCTTATAAATTAGTATGAACTGAATGAACATGTTTTCATTTCGATTTTATTTTTATTATTTTCA